TGAGTGACTTCAGCTCAGGGACTGACACAGTGCCTGTCCCACGGGTAGATTGTAGTAATGGGAGAGCCCTTTGGGGTGCATTTGCTTGATTCATTTTCTATGCCACCACAACTTCTTTTTCTCACTTCTTAATGATACTTTTAAAATAAATAACATATTTAAGATTCTGCAGAATTAAGAACTGAATTTTAAAATATGTTTTAATGAGATAGTCACTGTCTCATGTTTATGCTTACATTAAAGGATTATCATTAATGTCATTGGAAATAGTTTCTAAAAGCTTTTCTGTGATTTCAGTTCTGTAACGATTCACGTTTTCAGAGGAACTGCTTCATCCTTAGTGTAGACAGACAGGACTTAAGTTATTCAATTCAGTGATTTAAAATTCCTTGAAGATAAGTTTAAAAGCAAGATTAAAAAATGTTAAACTGATAACCGAAGGGGAAAAAGATTTACCTAATCTCTTTGTAAATACTATATATGACCTTTTAAATTCAAATTAAAATGCGGCTCAGTGGCAGCTTCTAAAGAAGATGTCGCCTCTGTGTCTCTAGCTGTGTCTCTTGTTTTTTGCTTCATCCCTGGATTGCCATTTTTCTCAGCCACTCCAGCATTTGTAAGACTCCCTCACAGTGGAAATCTGGTCTTTGGTACACATCGATACACTTTTGATTATGGTAGGTTATTCAAAAGAAATTTCAAGGAGCCAATATAAAACTAGATAATTTGTTAATTAAATATTATGACATAAAATATCCAAGTGGAAAAAAAGAAATCTGATCTTTAACCAACTCTTTTTTATATGAACATTCTAAAATGAACAAGACTTGCTGGGGATTTTTTTCTCCATATATTATGTGGCAGTTTTATGCTGGGCTATTCAGACAATTTAAATTAAGTCCACAAGGACTAATGGCATGAATTTTCTTATTTTAAATTTGGGCTTAAAACCTTTTTCTACTTCAATGCAGTAGATCCACCTGAGTAAATAGGTAGAACTTGATGTTTAAGTGGGCCAGCTTATCATGTCAGTTCACACGTGAACAGCAGCTTTCTGGTAACCATCTCTGAGGTGAACCCTACGCTGTGGTGCAGCACAGAAGTCTGAAGTGGGAGGGGAGAGCAGCTGACTTGTTTATTCTCTGACCTTGTCCCTGCTGGCTCATGTGTAGTGGGGCTGTATGGCATGGCATTCTATAAGCGTGGACCTTGCTGGTTCTGGCAGCTGCTCTCCTACCTTGTCCCTTCAGAAGCAGGGACTTCCCGCTATTGCTGACCTGTTACAGTCCCTTCCTGTAGTCCTCTGACTCTTTTCAGTGTGATGTCTGTCTTTTGTCTGGACCCTGCTTCCACACCTGTGTTCAAGGAAGTAAAACATAATGTTTTAGTTGGGTTGTGTACATCTTTTTCCTTGCAGGGCTGGTAATGAAACCAAAGGCCCCTCCCTGCTAGGCAAGTGCTATATCACTGAGCTATACCCTACAGCACCACAGATGTCATTTTCTCCTGATGTGAAGTGTAAGTTCCCATTTGGTAGGCGAGGGCACACCTCAGAGGACTCTGCATAGGCCCAGAGAGCAGTAAAGATGTTGCAGCGCTGGTCCTGCCTTTGTGATGCAGATCTTCACGCAAAAGAGCAGTTGTCATGCTCATATGAGCATGCAGTCTATATTTGTCTTCACACCTGCCTTGTTCCTTCCTGCTGCTGTTTCTCCTTTTTTCTCAAGACTTGCTATTCTTGGCTGGTGAACTCTATGGATGTATAGGACAGGGGCCTCCTTCTGGCCCATCAGTAGCTCATCGGAACTCCTATGGGCTGGGTGACTTTTTTCCCCTCCATTTCATCAAGTTCTGTGACCCTCTGTGGTGAGAAGAGAATTCAAAGTGCACAGGGAAAGCAAAAGTGTTGACCCATGAGAGACACCACTTCTGCCAAGTCAGAAGTCCTGCATATGTATTAAGAGAGCCTTCGTTTCTGCTTGTCCTCCCAGGGAAAGACAGTGGATTGGGTGAAGTACACAGGAGCAAAGCCTTGGAGAGAACCACGCCTTGTCATTTTAGTTTCTATGGATACAAAACATTTTAACTTGGCTCTGTCTCTAGAGTCACAATCCTCCCACTAATGTTTCTGCAAGTGTCACTGTAATCAAGCTGCCACCATCTCCCATCTGAACTCTGCAGAGTTCTCAGAATCTGTCCTGGTCTCTACTGCTGTCCGAATCATCCTCCAGCCAGGAAGCCATCCTTTCCAAAATGTCTTGTATCACTCTGGGAAGAGGCTCCTGTGTCTTACTGTCAAGCTTGGAACCAAAGTTAGCCTCCCAGCTCATCTCCAGCCCATTTCTTTGCCTTACTTGTCCAGTTTGTCCCTAGAGCTCAGCCAGAATGGCTTTCTTCTCATCCAGGGCAGGCCATGCCTGTCCCCGCAGTTGGCCCTCTCACACTTCTCTTTGCCAGCACCTTCTCCTAGGTCTTCTTGTGGTTATTTCTGCTTTTTCTCTTTTGTGTTTTTTACACAGCACTATTGCTGCGTGAATTTTTTTGTAGCTGCCTGTGGTTTGTCTTTCCCAGCCAGAATGTGCTATAAGAGCAAGGCCTACTTTGTTCAGTGCTGTGAGTCTGCCTGGTCCGTGCAGGCATTCCAACCCTTTTGGAGTAAGTGAATGTACCAAACTCTCTAAAACTGCTAACTATGAATCATTTGTATAATAGCCATTTTGCGGGGTCTAGCTTCATTATTTTTAGTGACTGGGTTGTATGAGGTTATACTAAGAGTATAATTATGTAAACTCCATTCCTTTCACAACTGGCTGTTAAGATGCATTTAAGAATTAAGTATATCAGCTATGTCTTTATGCCATTCATGTACATAAGTAAAATATTAATTATAACAATGTTATCAATTTGGACAGCCATGATTATCTAACTGATTTTTAATTGAAAATAAAAAATGACTAGTTGTATTTACAAAAATCATTCCATGCTAGATTTATAATCCTTTTACTTTCTTGGTTAACAATAAACTAGCTAATGCTACCTTGTTTTATCTAAGTAATTTTGACAGCAGAATCTCAATAGGGCAGTAACTATTTCATAAACTTTTCAATTCCTGTAGTGGCAGCCTTACACGTGGGGTGATTTCCAGTGGGAAGTTTCCTCCATATGTTTTATCATGCCCACATCTGTTAATATTTATTTTGTTTTACAGATTTATGAAATAAATTTATTTTGAGATTATAGCCAACTGTATTTTTAGCAAAAATAAATAAATATTTGTGTGTTAATGTAGACCGAATGAGATTGAATTTTATCCCATGAAATATTTATAAACAGAATAATCATGTTTTACTTTCCGTTTCTGTTTAAATGAATATACCTACTGAGAAAGCAGCTAATATTTTTAAACCTTTAGAAAATTAACTTCAAAAATATTCTTTCTTGGGGCTGGGGATTTAGCTCAGCGGCAAAAGCGCCTGCCTGGCAAGCGCAAGGTCGTGAGTTCAGTTCCCGGTACCGGAGAAAAACCAAAAAAAAAAAAAAAAAAACTCTTTCTTTATGCCATAAACTACTCCATTAGGGAAATAGTCCAGTTCACTGATCAATTTTGAGTATTTGGATCTTCATGTTGATCTCTTTGGTGTCACAGGAAAGATACCTGTCAGGTCTGATCAGTGTCTTCAAGTCATCGCATCTGACCTATGAGAGAATTTAAGAGATGCAGTTTTGAAAATTTCTTTATGGGAAGTGAGGTTGCAAAAGATAATACTTCAGTGCACTAAGGGAAATGGGCCTGTGGAAAGTAAATGACCAGTGGGTTTCAGAAATGCAGTTAGTAGGGAAAACGGAATCTTCCTTATCATTAGAGCGGAACCTGATCATTAGAGAGCACAACTGGATCAGAAATCTCTGCCAGATTGGCAGGCAGATGCTCCTGCTGTGCTGTGTCCCATGGTTAGGACAGGTTTGGGAACGGGGGAGGGATTTTGCCCACCCACGGAAAATATCCACAGACCCACAGGAGGTGAGGTGCGTTCATAGCAGTGTATCCCTCAGGCTCACTGGAATTTAGTGTGAATGGTAAATTGTAACATCATTTCACTTTTTACAGTTTCAGATCTTTGGTGATAATTTGTCTTTTTAAATTATGTAATTTGCTTTGTGACAGTCAAAGTTAGTATCCTAAAATTCCTAATAACTACTGCTTGGTTTTCCCAAGTGTAGTCTTCATTTAGGCCAGGGTAAGAACATACCACTCTGCTGGGTCCAGTACATCTACAGTGGCTGTGCCTAAATTTTTAAAGCATTTATTATTTTTCTTCAAGAGGGAAAGATTGAACCATATTTAGAAGAAATAGACATGGAACACATAGTTGTGAGTGCCAAGCAGCTGAAAGGGAAGGTCATTTTGTTTGAAAGGTTAGAATTTGAAGAGAAATACTTGGAAAACAGTGTTAGGAGGGTGCTTTCCCCTAGCACTCACTGCCAGTGGAGACAAGGAAAGCCTCCAGCACACCTTCCCTGACCTAGTCCCCAGCCACTGCTTCCTCGCAGAAGTCATATCATTTCTGTACATCTCAGATTTCCCTTACATAGAACGAAAGAATTATGACAGATTTTCTTTGAAGGATTTTTCCCATTTTAAATTTCCAGAATGTCATGAAAATGAAAACCTGGTCTCCAGCAATGCAAGTGTGCCAAGAGATGTAAAAGACAATAGTACATAGCCTGTATTACATTTGATGTCAGTGGTAATATCGAGGCAACAGAAACATTTAAAACATTCCATGGAACTAGCAATGGAAGTGACTGATGCTCTTACAATTAAAGTTGTGCCGTTCTTTGATTCCATTTTATTGTCGTGACCATTACTTGGATCCAGTGTTCATTGCTGTCTTTCTCCCACTGTGAAATGATGCGGACACAAGCCTTGCCCCTGCAATCGGAAGTCCTTAGCACAAACATGCGGTGGCGGTGCTGACCAGTGTTGCCTTATATTCCAGGGACCGTGTAATTGGCTTGATGATGACAGCCTGTGACCTTTGTTCTGTGACAAAACTGTGGCCAGTTACAAAGTTGACGGCAAATGATATATATGCAGAGTTCTGGGCAGAGGTATGTCCTTGATTCCTATATTAGTACAGATAATATCAAGGAATGGGAAAATATTTGAGGTGAAATTAAATATAAGGATAATTTACTTAGTACCTAAATTGCTGATTTTGTTAGTTACAATATTTTGGAAAATATGGTCAATCACATATGCTAAAAGATTTAGCAATTATGTAGACACAAAGTGAGAATATTCACTCGAACATTCTGTTAGATCTTACTTGAATAGTTGTGTAAATTCTCTGATCTCAGTTCAGGAGCTTATTCATTAAATTGAGTCTTAGTGTAACAATTTTCCTCACTTGACAGCTCATCTTCTGCCCATTCAATAAACATTACTGGATGTCTACTCTGAATGGGCTATATCTGCCTTGCAGTGAGAAACTAAGAGAATAATCACTGTGTACCACACACATAAGGGAATTTGTAAGTGTGCTTGGTGGTCAACTCGCTTGCAAATTATGATTTTTATAGAATGTGTGGAATATTAATTTATGACACCCCTGAAACAAGCATATATATGTGACTTTCATTAACATATTTTTTGGCTAAATAAGTTATCAGTAATGTACATGCTGTTCCTCAATTTGTTTTCAGAATTGTCTGTGAGAAAATAAAATGTAATCACAAAAACCTAGGTCTGTACATAGTAAAAGATTACTTTATGAACAAGTTGTAAATCCTTTGGCTACCTATTTTGGTGTGAAAAAATAAGTACATTTGGAGGGCAAAGAGTTTTGTGGTGGTCAATTCAACTTCATATTTCTCCTATACCAAAGAATGAATATAAAATAAAAAATGACAAACCATTCATATGTAAGTTCAAAAGAAATTATTTATACTGTTACATTTTTTCATAGTGGAAAATCCGAAGAATTTTCATTGTATAAGGACACAGACTTTGAGTTGATTATGCTTACGCATTTATTTTGGGAGAATTCTTTATATCTTGTATATGCAAGCATTTACATGATTTGTCTTTATTTTGTAGTGTGTGTATCAGAACCTAGTTACTTTCAGACTCAATTAAGACACTGTTTCTGATGTACTTGTATGAACTGCAATAATTGATTGTTTTATCACATCCAACTTAATTTGCATATTTACGCTAGAGTACAGTCTATAAATAGCACATAGGAAAATTGGTCTGAAGTTAGCCATTGTTTTGCACTTAATTTTACCTAACTAGAGATATTTTGTACTTTACCAACTATATTTGTATTCTAAAGTATAAATCAATATGTGACAGAAATGTAATGTAGATTTTTTTCTCCTTATGCTCTCATTGATACAAATGCAGTCTACAAAGGCAGATTGAGCATTTAGCATGGTCACGGGCATGGTCTTCCATGACCCCTCATTCCTGGGAGAGATGGTAGTGTGTCCCTGCCACTGACGCAAATGTCCACAAGGTCCAGCCACCCTTCTGCAGTCCCCTCCTTCCAGACTGTCTGCATGTCATGTCTACGTGACTGCAGCTCCATCTGGATTCTGCCCTGAGTCTTTCAGAGTCAGTCACAGTCACGGTGGTGGAGGGTGGTCTGCATGTTCAAGATTAAAATCCTGCTTTGGCAATTACTACGTAGTCCAAGACAGTTTTCTAAACACATTGCTACATAGGGATGATGGTAATTCCGATTACCGCTTCAAATCCCCTCCCACTCTTGTGATAAAGACCTAACTCAAGGCCATGCTGTACTGAACCCCTCATGGCCATCACTGCCCGCCCCCCACCTCTCTGTGCTCCCCGGTAGCCCTTGTTACGTGTGTGATCCATGGTACCGGGTTGTTTTCCTTTGCCGCATTTATCCTTGCTTTCAGGACATAGTCAAGCATTGTTTGTTTAAAATCTGTTTCCTTCTTGGGCTTGAAATGTCACTGAGAGCAAGGGAATTGGTGGGCTTCATTCAGTCGGGACTGAACACAGGTTGAAGACGACCAACTGCAGCATTACAGTGATCGCTTTACAGCAGAAGCTGTGCTTCCAGGCCTGGGCACTCAGAGGACAGAGGCTGCATCCCCACGTGAAAACTCACAGTGGGGTCAGAGTAATGTATTTCTAGACCTCATCCTAGCAAATCTGTGAAGTTTATAGTCTATATTTATGGCTTCTGAAAGTGACAATCATTAAAATTACTAAAATAATAAAGAAATGTGAGGGAAGAGTGAGAAGTTAGGATAAAGGTTAGAAAATATTAAAAAGCATTTTAACAAGCTTTAACAAATAAATTCAAGGAGAGATAACTTTTAAAATCTAGAAAATGGGGTAATATACTATCTCCTAGTACCTCCTGAGGAATAAATTAAGTAATATTTACAAATTGTATAGCATAGCGCCTTTGACCTAGGAAATCTTTCCCAAATGTTCCCTACAATTATAGGTTTCGTGCCCTGTGGTCAGGCGTGCTGTGTCCTCACCAGTGGTTTCACCAGTGTCTTTCACTCTCCCTGTGTCAGAGCTCCTGTCCGGCGCCCCGCTTCTCCATCCCTACTCTCATGAAGAATCACTGCAGGAAGACGTGTAGAGGCCTTGAGGTCATCTGCGCTTTCTCGTTCCTTCCCACCTGTCTTGAGCTCACTGCTGTGCAGTGGAGCCGCAAGAGAGGCTGATCTCTGCAAACTCAGTACCGTATAGAACACCAGGACAAAACCCCGACGTTGTTGGGCTTTACTCTGGCGTGTTTCTTAGGACAATGACCAGAGACATTATTCGTTCTGAGAAAGATTGATGAATAAAGGGAGCAAATCACTGATACCAGATTTTATGACTACTGAGAAAGAATAACTCCCTCTCCCATTTCTTTTAGGGTGACGAAATGAAGAAACTGGGAATACAGCCCATACCTATGATGGACAGGGACAAGAAGGATGAAGTCCCACAAGGCCAGGTGCCGACTGTTAGAGCTGTTGTTACATCAGGTAGCTTAAGGTGATGCTGTCATCATCTGTGAAGAGACAGCGTGCGCCATCGTGTAGTAAGGTTTGAGTACAGGCATGGTCAGTCAGGTGTGCTGATTAATGAAGAAATGAGTGATTTATCCTGCAGAGGCTGAGTGCTGGAAGAACAGCCCCGTCCCCTTGAGTCATCCTCCACTCCCATGAGCCTTCACACGTTCGTAATCTCACGTGCGTGATGGAAAGTAGCCTCCAAAAGTCCATGCTGTGACCTAGGTCTGAGGGCCAACTCTGATCTCTTCCCTTGCTCCCAGGCTGAAGTCAAAATGGAAGGTAGAGGGCATCGCTGTGCCATGGGCTGGAAGGATGGAGAGAAATGCTTGAGATCTCCACTGGCCCTCAGTTTGATGGTAGAAGACCGAGGTTAGAAAAAAGGTTAGGTTAGGAAATCCTCGCTGGATTTCACAAGCTCTCAGCCGCTCTCCACAGATGGCACTGCAGTGAGCAGGCATTCTTCTCTGACACAGAATCCAGGGGGCGCCTCTGCCAAGCCCACACTAGTGTCCTTATTGGGGAACACATTGTCACTCTTTATTTGACAGTGCGGCTGTCATCCCTGTCATGCATGACACATGTATGTATTTCAGCTTGGTTGCTTTTAACATTGTTTATGGAACTCTCTTATGTATACAGACACAGTTATTAGTCTTTCTTACCTTATGTCTATGTTTTTGTCATAGTTTAAAAGTCTTTTTCTACCCTGAGAATATATGAGCATTTTCATATGTCCTCTTTAGTTACTTCTTTTGTCCCGTTACTTACATTTGATTGTGAGTTCGTTTGGAAGTTATCTTCTTATATGGTATAAGAAAGGCATCTAAGGTAACTTTTTTTCTTTTTAAGTAAACTGTCACTCACCCCAAAGAATGTGTAGGGTAGATGAAAATTTCTCACTGATGCTGACAGAACATGAGTTCTGTGCTAGTGTTTTTAATTATAATGATAATTTTTTTAGAATAATGTGTTCTGCATGAAAATGTTTTAGTTTTATATACTTAATCTTAACCAAAAGGCCAAGAAGCAATGTTTTAGTTTTATAGAATGGGAAAATTTTAAATGAAATATCTCTGTCAAAGCTGTGGTGGTGCATGCATGTAAGCCCAGCCCTCAGGAGGCTAAGGCAGGAGGATCATCAAAAATTCAAGGCCAGTCTGGGCTACATAGTGAGTTCAAGGCCAGCCTGAACTACATAATGAGACCCTGTTACAAAACAATTTTTTTTAATTCTCTGTGATTAGTTAATATTTTACCAACTGTATTACTTCTAAATTACTGATTACTATGAAATTATTCATTGTAATCATAATGAAATTCTATATTTTCCAATATTTACTCTCTTTCTTAGAATTTTCTACCCATGACATCTGGTCAAAATTGGAATAAGGAAATCTCTGCTTGAGAAACAAATTTAAAAATTGGACCACAAAGGCATTAGCCCAATAAGAGGACTGTGGAAATAACTTTACACCAGGAGTTACACCAGGAGAAAGCAGAGAGGAACCACATAGATTTCATTATTTTATCTCCTTTCATGTAGTTCCTTGAAGTTCATTTGTTTAAAAGAAATTGGTAGCTGTAGTTAAGGGTCATGTCAGAACCAATTTTATCTTATACCTGTTGTTATACTGTATTCGAGCAGTGTCCTGACCAGTTGTATAAGAGTGGCTGGCCACTTTGGGCAGTTACCGAGCTAGACAATTTGTGTTCCTGGCTAATAGTTTCAGAATCTTTCACACCTTGCCCTCCCTAGACCTTCTAAGGTAGCATCATTTGTTTGCAAGTGATTCATAATTCCTAGAAAGTATTCTTTAATATATTTTCATAGTACCACAGAATTTGAAACTGTGAAGTCTAATATGTGGACAAAATAGTAACTTGGAAAAGGTGTGATGAAATCAGTGACACTTCTAGGTTAAAAAAGAAAGGAATGGGGAAGTAGTGGAGACCATACAAGATACCAAAGCCAAGAAGTAACACACAAACAAAAAGTACTGTGGTAATTTGTAACACTAGAATGGAACAGCATCACTCACGTTGGAGAAGAGCATGTTTGGCTTTGAAATGTCTTCACTGGACCAGCAATAGCGAGAGGACTGGGAGTAAACCTAACTAACCTGGGAATAGAATCTCATTTAACCCAAGCATGTTTAGATTTCAGCAAGTGTAGCTTTTGTAATATGTCTTACATTTTTATGTTTTATTTCTAAGATGTATTTTAATGCACTTTAAACTATAATCAATAATAGTATACATGGAGCCCAGATATCACCTAGAGCACAAATAAAGCATTTAGTTTTATGGTTGGACTTAGAAGAAGAAAATTTAAGTGCAAACAGAACACTAAAGAGCAGTTTCTTTCTCATCCATGACTTTGGCCCCGAGGCAGGTTGGATTCTACAACGCCGTAGCTGTCCCCTGCTATACCACACTGGCCCAGATCCTGCCTCCCACGGAGCCTCTCCTCAAAGCCTGCAGGTGCGTACTGTGACTCAGCCTGGAGTGGTATTTTTAAAAACCAAGGCCCTGTGCAGGGGTTTGACCCCTTCGTCTTGTGAATGTGTCTTGACTACAGTTTGTAATAAACAGCAAAAGTTGTTGGGGTGTTTGCCTAGGTAGGGGGTTGTTGGGGATCTCGGGTGGTCCTGGCTGACCAGCCTCTGCAAGGGTGCTTTCCTCTCTTCTGTTGATCTTCATCGGAAATGGGTCTCAGACTCACCTGACGCTCCAGCAGTGTAGCAGGCAAGATGGCTGATAGAGCAGTCAGTGCCAGGGAGAGGGAGCTATCAGCCGAGTTACAGAGAGGGAGGGTTCTGCGCAGAGGTCATGCTCAGAGTCAGGGAGCCTGACTTACACCTGTCCTCTGCCTTGGCTGGGATCAGAGCTTCTTTCCTGGAAGGAGACAGGCTCTTTAAAGACGCTCTGTTGAGCGGCTGTGAGCATCACCTTGTGCTGATGGGCCTCAACTCCTGCAAACCCTAGCCAGGGTGAGTCCCATAGCCCATAGCATATGGCACAGCCCTGGGAGATGCTCAAGCAGCCCTGCTAGCTGTCGCTAATCCCATAGCCATAGTTGCACTCATTCAGTGCACTATATTGCACTATATTGATTTATAGCCATCCATTTACCGAGAAGAAACCTGCAGGTATTTTCAGGCATGCAGAGGGCCCCTACACAATACTGTTTTTTTTAAAAAAGGCAAGACAATAGTGTCTCTTCAGCAGTGCTTATTAAGAAAGGCAGGACCTCCGATTAAATTACAGCTTACAAGGAAACCTCAGTGGAGAGCTCCTTCTTTAAATATTAGTTTTTCTTCCAAAAGCAAATTTAAGCCATCTGCTATCTATTCCAGGATTTAGATGTCTCCTTTCCCCCCACAACATCTTTCTTTTTTTTTCTTTTAAAAAATAAGGAAAACATATTAACAGACAGACATCCATTGACAAAATCCCCCACATCTATTCTGAGAGCTAAACTCAGTTAAGAACATGGAAATTTTTGAAATATTTTTAACTTTATTTTTGAAATCGTTCTCTCTGAGAAAAGAGAAGGCCATAACATTCATTAATGAGTTGGTGTCCAGAGGCTGTTCATAACTAACTCCTCAGCCAGAGCGGTCCTTGGGAGGCTGAGTGAACACACTGAGGGAAGACAGAGACATTTAGCCAGATAGTTTTAAACAAAACCAAAACATAAGTAGTGTACTCCCACTGACTGCTGTTTTTGTAAGGATAGCAAACAAAATGAACGAGCAAAAAATATTTTTTAAAAGGATCTCTCTTTTTTTTTGTTGTTTTTTCTTGTTTAAGAAATGGTTTCTGTTTCCCTTCTGCTGGGAAGGTTAATGGAACTTCCCAGCCTCAGCCAACCTGAGTCAATGGTTGATTAGAATCTTATCCTATTATGTAAGGGCAAAGCCATGAGGGACAGTGGGAAGTGTGAGGCAGGACTTAGCCCTGGTGGGATCCGGCTGTCAAAGTGAGCACACATTCTGGAGGAATGGAAATGTCAATCTAAATCCAGACTTATAATTTAAAAATATCTCCTAAGCAGTGGTCTAAATCCCTTTCCTTCCAGATCTCTGTTTTAGGCTAACTATTCAAAAGCCAGCAAGAATGAATGGTTGCTGGGTCATTTTGCAGTAGACCACATTGTTGAGGCGCTTTCCCTAGAAAGCTTTGTGACTGTGACAGTTAGCTATGTTTGCAGCTTTAATGCATTTGTGATTTAATATACTTGTGACCCACATAATCACTTAAAGCCCATTTTAATCTACTAACACTTAAAGCATTCAGCATGTTATCACTGATACTCAAGGAAACATACCAAATTTAGTGTGTGTCTTTTTCCAATACAGCATATCAGAAAATCTCTAGGGTCTGTGCAACAACACCTGGGAGTTTCTTTTGTCCAAAGGTGTCTTAGCATGATTGCTGTTAAAATAAACTTAGAGAAAGAGTTAATTTTATCTGATTTTGACTTTGCATAAAAGAATGTGGAGATACAATACATTGCTAAGAGCTGGGCCAGGTTAGCCACAGAGAGTAAGGGATGATCCTGCAGTTAGGGCTAGCATGCCTGTGATTTGCCCCAAGTACAGGGAGAGAGAAGGATTGAAAGGGTGCAGGGGAAAGGAGGCTGCACCTCCGAAGGGAGGTCAACAGAACCCAAACGGGGTTTTCCTGTAGTAAGAAAGTTTGTGACCAGGTATAATGCAAGATGACTTTTTACATGTGACAGTGTTCAGAATACAGGTGCTCAGGTGTGAGGAGAGCAGGGTACATAGGCCTCCCAGGAGCTGTGCCGGCCTCCCCGCTACACAGACTCACAGAGCAGGAACTGGAAAGCCTGCAGCTCCTCTGGTTGCTAGGTGGGGTTGCTCTCCCACTCTGTCTTCTCTTGCTTCCTGGCAGGAAGCCCTGGGGCTCATAGTCAAGGTCATCTTGGTAACTGATTCAGAAACAATACTTCAGGCGCCAGGATGACTTTTGTCTTTGCAGACCGGCTCAGGCACTTTGAGGCTTTTTCCTGAAGAGACATGCAGAGCCTGCCAGGATATCAGTCACTGTCAGCATCGTATGGGTGCCACAAGGAGCCATTTGCTTAGTCACGCCACAGGGCCGGTGGCTCAACTTTCAAGATGGAGCCTAGAAACTCCCTCTAAACTTCCCACATGACTGTGTCTTTTCTCCACAGGGATAATCTGAGTCAGTGGGAGAAGGTGATTCGAGGGGAAGAGACTGGACTGTGGATCTCCACGCCAACCACAGCGGCTGAGGGGACCTCTGAGAAGCATCCTGTGAAGACCCAGGAGTGATGGTCATGGACTAGGTGTCCGACTCCACGGTTCTCATCCTGCTTCTTTGGCGCTTTTTCCTTTTATTTTTGACGGGGAAAACCTACACCTGATGACTGGAGTGCAATCTCCTGAAGAAGGGAACATCAGCCTGTCTGTGGAGCAGCCAGCTCCTGCCGAGCTCAAGACACGTGCACAGACAGGGAGCAGCCGAGACCGCCCTGTGTTGGACGTCAGCAGGCCAGCAACTCCACTGGACCCTTGAGCCCCCTCTGTAACAGGCTAACCTTGTGGAAGCCTTACTGGGAAGTAAAAGAGACAACTCTGAAGGGTACTCTCCCCGTGTCCTTTCACAAGGGTGTTAATGGTACTACTCTGGTATTGTACTTCGGGTTTAACACCAATGTTGCTTTGTAAGTGTTGATTATAAATAGGGTTCTTTTACACATTACTGTCGTGAATGTTCATGTGTGATCTCCTTATGGTAAACTTGAGTTGTAGCCCACAGCCTCAGGACAGCATCACGAAGGGGACAGAGTAAGAAGTGATAGGAAAACGTCAAATTCTCATTCCACAGCTTCATGATTTTAGGTGGACCAGAGCGCATTCTCTTAGGTGCGTTACAGCGGAGGGTGCAGGTGAATCCCTCACACACTAAGGACGCGGACTCTTGTCCTGTGAAGAGATGCAGGCATGCATCCTCATAGATCTCTGCACTTCCACTCGTGGTTCAAGGATGTCAAGGAATTTTCCAAACTTTCTCCTTCATTGTAGTTGTGGCAAATTTACTGAACCCTTTGCATAAAGAACAAAATAAAAGCAAGGCATACTATTTTTTTAAGCAAACAAGTCTTGTGGGTATAAAATGTGAACTTTTAATAATGATTCTATTTTTACTTTGCGTCGTGGCAACATTTTTGACTCATGTTCAAAATAAAAGGGTTATTCTAAAAGTTATTTCATTAAATTATACCATACATTTCTCTTTCAATCACATTACACTGTCACGTGTTAGTCTTCTGTCATTTGCTCTAGGCAGCCGCACTGGCCCCATTTGTCCCTCTTGGCACGCTCCATCGCGCTTTGGTGGCACCGTCTCCAGCCAGCAGGAGGGGGCAGCAGTGCAACCACAGTGTCCTGGTTTTTGTCCCCTTCTGCTCTTCACAGGTCAGACATCTACAGAGGAACCACAGCTTGGCAGATGAATACTGCTGTACAATCTTCGTATAATGTTTAGTAGAAACTATGACAGAATTTCTGGCTCTCCTTCACAGGTGTCAGGACAGTTACTTCTGGTCCACGTCAGCACTTTCAGGGTGGTTGTCACAGTGATTCAGTGACGCCTGAGTCAGCACTTGGTTTTCATCTGAAGGAATTAGAGTGACAGACCAGTCCACAGCAAAGAACTTGTTCCTCTGCTTGTGGCAGGAATATTAATCTGAAAAATAAAATTTTAAATAATGTTTCTGCAGACTCAGCACCGTACACATCACTGTCCATGTGAACTTTGTTTTTGCGAGATTAAGTCAGTTTGCTACAACACGTTTTATTTGTGCTGTAGTGAGGTGGCTATACATAAACAGTGTTCTCATTACAAAACTATATTCAGTTTCCATATGGGCTTCTAAGGTTACCATCTTCCCTACATGGAGCTCCACTGTAATTGTATAATATGAAATAATACAAGATGAGTGAAGGTATATACACACATATATGTATGTAATGTATGTAGACACACATAGATGTATATATGATGCACATTCATGTATGTAGACATACACCTATATGTATATGATACACACACATACACATATGAAACAAAGCTAGGGAGAAACAAGCAAACCTATGAAAAATAAAAGTCACTCCTCCCTGCCCAAGCAGTGGTTTTTGTGTTGGGAAATGTCTAATGCTTGATTATAAGTGACCAGAAGATGTCATTAGTAAGTTGCATATTTTCCCCCTATAAATTTATGAAACTGGATCCCACCACATACAACTTTAACCAACATACAAAAAGTTAATTTAATCATCTAAGTTGGAAGCTGAATTTCAGAAGGGGTATTAAACATTGCTTAATTAAAAGGATTTTAAAGGAACACATGAATTGTGCTTCTTCATATGGAATAGAATCATGATGGTGGAAATTGCTTGGTTTCTTTACATCTTAAGGTTGCTGTTCTAGTAAGAATATTACAGAAACTTGAAGAGTACTGTGACCTCTTCTTTGAACAGTTTCCCAAGAGAATGTGTATGGATTTGTTGGATGGTTAACTTTTTGTAAGATACTGTCATAATCGAAGCAGAGGATAACAGTGGACTGTATGCTACTATAAACTATTAACATAGCTTTTACCAAATGTAACTAACTTACTTAGGAAGCAAAGATTTGCCTAAGTTAGAAGAGCCCTGTATACACACAGGTGATACTTGGTTAATAGTTTGTTTGGGAAAGCATTTAAGTCAGGAGTATTTTGGCAAAATACATTTCACGGACCAACTTTGGGTTCTGGTTCTCATTTTTCCCCAGATCTTTTTACAAATGATAATGTGATACCAGAAACCAGGCAGAAGCTTTTTTGTTACCAAAAGATTTCAATGAAATTTCTCATTAAAATGATATTTTATACTAGGCCAAGTTTCTATAGTCCAGTATAAATTTGGTAATTAGTTATGAGTAAATATACGATGTTCAATTTGCAGAAATTTATAATGATTTATTACAGACAAGTTTTATGATCACATGCAGTTGCTCCATCCTCTTTCCAGACTTTGTGAATATATTGTTTAACTAAAACTATTCTTGGAAATATAAGTGCATGCAAGCAAGGATATAAAATACCATTTAAAAATGCAGGCACCCTATTCATTGGTAGTTGACTCTCTGAATCAATTAACTAGGAAAACTCAAAAGAGGAACCTAGCTATCAAAAATGGCCCTTTTATGATCACCCAGTTTTAGTTATGTCCAAGAAACATGTTAGAAACCAGTGCTGGAAAGAGATCCAGTGGGAGCACTGACTGTCGCTGTGCCTGCTCCTGGCCTTGTGGAGAGGGATGTGCACGGGGTCAGTGCATGGTGCCTTGTTCCTGCTACTGGTTCCCACAGCAACAAAAATAGACTAATTGGAAACTAGATTTGTTCTGTGTAGGTTTCCCCTTTTTAGCATGTTTAAAAGTTTTTAATTTATACAGTCTCAGTGAATGTTGCTTTGTTGGTATGTTTATATACACTAGATACGTTTGTACAGGTTACATGGAGATGTGTACATGTAGATATCTGGGTTTCTAAATAGCTTTTTATTTGTGGTGATATATTTCTGCTCTTTTTAACTCAAGATGAAGGTTTGAGCTTTAATAGGACTAAATTATCCACCTTGGCTTGGCCTGTGCCTTTTTTTAACTACTGAAATTTTACTTTTCACTCATAGTCATTATGTTACTTTTCTTTCTTAAGCATAATTGAAAACATGTAAAGAGATACATCCTGGTTAACTTTGCCAAGTCGAATGAATAGAACCTTCTGTCATTAGATTTCTCTGCTTTATTTGACTTCCCTGACTTCATTAACGTCTACCCTTGTGACTATAGCAAAGGAGCTGTTCAGATTCCTTCATTGCCAGGACTTCAGGCACTGTGACACTGATGATGATGTGATTTTCTTGGGCATCAGGTACATAAGCATGATTTGGGTTGTAAAAATCACTATATATTTCAAATGTGTTTGATTTCTAAACTTTGCTGATTTGATTTAGGTGTAACTCTGTAGAGACTATATTCATTTAGTCATGTTAATGGACTCCTTCTATTGCAAGCGTGGGTCTGGCTTAAAAATCACTGTAAGATTTCAGTTTGCTAAGAATGCTCTCAGTTACTATGCCCCCAACCTTGCCAGTGCATGGCTGTTATATTTTAACCTGTGTGTAAGTATCCTGATAATACATTCTGCTGGCTTCTTTAAACATTTAGACTAAGTTTAAATTAGTGACACCTGAACAGTATGTAACTTTGTTGTTGTTGTTGTCTTCTTTACAAAATGGGATGATAAAAATAGCAAAAATGAAAGAAAAATATTCAACAGTGTTCTTGTTCCAAATTAAGAAGATGGAACAAAGAGAAAAATACCAGTGTTTCCCAAGAAAAACATTTAAAATCCAAAGAAGCACCATGATAGTCACTTAAATTTTCTCTTCTCAACACACAGTGGAAAGCAGTGTTTTGTAAGTGATATACTCTGCCTGCCCTTTACTGTACAGTATGAGAAACCAGAACTGAAGCAGATCTGGGCTTTGCTCTGTCGGGGCAAATAATATCACCTAAGGATCAAAGTGGAAACCTGCAGCTGGATCCAGAGTTTCCCACATAGGGAAAGTGGTTTATCATTTCAATGTTCAGCTAATAATTTTAAGGTACTGTATATTTGCCAACATTTATGTGGAAAGTTTTATTCCTAATGTAAGTTAAGTTTTGAAAGTATATTATTTGATGCTGTGGCCGACCTAAAATGTCATCATATCATGGGCATTTGCAACCTTTATTTTTTTTTTCTTTACTTACCCCAACACCTAAGTCTATACTATGTCTTCTATAGCCAATATAAATGACATGTGGGACTATTTTCAGTATGATCTGTTATATGGTGTATATGCTACATGTTCATTTAATGTGCAAGCTGAAAGTATGATAGATTTACACATAGAAGGTGTTTCTGTACAATGCCCCTGTCCATTTGAAATTATATGCTTGCCCAAAACACTGTGAAACAGTTTCCAAATTTGTACAAATGCAGCATCTTGATTCTTACTAAGAAGAGGTGACTTTCTCTACATGAACATATGAGCAAAAGAGATTCTATATCCATACCTAGCTAAGTCTTCTAGGGTTTACTTGGAATAATCTCCTTGCTGACCAAAACCTGCTGGAACGTAATACAGGTTTTGTGCTACCAAAAACACAGCACTCATACTAAACTGATTTGCAGTCAATGGGTCTGTATCCAAAGCCTTAATAGGCTCTCTTTTGGAAGGGGAAAGAACTTCAAGTTCACAATATCCAACTGTATTTTAGTTGATGAGTTAGTAAATTTAAAAAATGATTTTATATGTATGACATAAAAATCTTTGTAAAATGCGCAAGTGCAATAACTTAAAGAGGTCTTAACTTTGCATTTATAAATTATAAATATTGTACATGTGTGTAATTTTTCACGTATTCATTTTCAGTCTTTGTATTTAAAAATTCTTTATTGTTATGTTTGTATAATAGAACAGTAACCATTTATTAAAACTTAGGAAAGATGTAAATAAATTCATAAGTCAAACAGCCAGTACATATGCATATATGAGTGTTATATTGAAAATTCTGTTTTACTAACATGCTTAGAGCAGCAAGAAATCTTTTGTTGATATGTAATTATACATATAAAGTATATATATATGTATGATACATGAAATATATTTAGAAATGTTCATAATTTTAATGGATATCTTTGGTGTGAATAATTGAATACAGAGTTTTTAAAATATCTTTCATGTTTATCATTTGCTCTCATTTGTGGGGAAGATAAGAAACAGTTCATGAAAGTTCATTTGAAAACACTCCAGACCTCATTTACCTGCGAGACTGTAAGCCAACACTGAATTAATGTGCTTTGCTTTTGTCACTTCCTAGCAGCAAAGAGGAGACAATTTAAAATATTAAAATTTTATAAGATGATTCACTAAATTCATTGTATAATTTTAAAATTTCCAAAGACTATTTGGGGAAATAATGGCAAAGCTAAGGACACCCGTCCTGGCTCGAACTCTCCCCAGCCCTTATCCTCATCCCCAGGGGTGGGGACCCTTTCCAGCCCCTCCCAACACACACAGAGTCAGGAGGAGTACAGCCCTAAGGAAAGGGAAGGCCATGCAAGGAAATGAAGACATTTATGCTTGCATGTAAGTATAGTGAAGGACATTCTTAAGTGAAAAGATCACATGGTCTCACTAGCAAGTATTCTACAAGTGAATCTGTGTTTTTGTCTTTAAAACTCTGCTTAAGAAAATGGTGGCTTTATTTTGGCTATGTGTGCATGCCATCAGGAGGGCAGGCAAATGCTAAGTATTTAAGAACAAAATTTGAAAGTTTAATTGTATCCCCAAATCCTCATCTTAAACATTTGAGAGCTGAATTTGGGAATAAAGGTTACTGGTCTAAAGACACTGCATGAGTGTCCACAACTTTATGAATTACTAAACAATGTAGACAACCATCAAAATTGAGTTCTTCCTCAATACCAGACTCACTAATGGAGTGCCTTCCAAATTTACCCCACTGTATGTATTGCTGACAGAATTTTTGTTAATATTCATTTTGTATGCAACTGAATGGCATGTTACATGTTTATTCCACTAAAATAAATTCCATGATCTAATACATCCATACAATTATTTGGCAGTGCAAGTTATCAATAGGCACCAGCACAGCTGACCTGAATTTGTATGCTTGTCTTAATTACACACACACTGAATTTCATCAATTTGATTGTAGCAAGTTTTAAGGAGGAATATTCCTCCATCATATCTATTTCCTAACGTGGAAAGAATCACAACAACTTATACAAATACAGTCCACCTACTATGTGGAAGAGGAGTACAGGCAGGGAGGTTGGAGTCGAAGACAGGGCAGAATGCTGCTGCAGCTTTGGGTTTGATTTTAACTCACTAGAGGCTTGGATTACTGCCCTTGGTTCCTGAAACCTGTTCCTTTTTGCACTCATTGCCTTCTTGAGCATAATTGAAGATGGAGGGAAAACAATCTAATGTTTGCAAGCAATTTTTAAAAGTTTTTCAAGTAACAATTGGTACTCCTCTCACCAGAATAAACTTGAAGAGACAGAAACCTAAAAAATCATGTTCCTCTACTCTGCCTCCCTCTTCTTCCCACTCTTGCCCCAGCATCGAGAATGGAAAATAACTTCCCACAACAGAGATTGCTGCAGGCCTGTGCAGCTCTTGACGTTCCATGGGGGTGGCGGGAGAGCGAGAGGATGAAGAAATAAAGAGATGAAAGCTCAGGTGGCGCTCTCGCCTGATGGGAGGAAAGGAAATGCTCAGCCACCGTGGGGGCATTTATTTATGCATTTGACAAAGTATTACATGAAACAGGGTTTCATGTAATAGTGACTAATGACTGGAATTGTCACTGTAAACAGTGACTAATGACTAGAATTGTCTCAGGCAAGGTGTTTTCTCAGGACTAAAGCAGCTTGATTGCTTTAGGCACTCTTCATTCTTGGACCAGCCTTGCCCCACACCTGTGACCAATTTCCAGCTTCAGCAGCTCCTTACAAGAGGTGAGCTTTTCCTTGGGAGTACAGGAAATAATCATTTAATAAAATAATAAATAATCATTTAATAAAAGGTTTTGTTAATCATTTGTTACAAGATTTTTAGCATAAAAACTACTAACCCACACACGCTTATATACATTGTTCATTAGGAAAAACTTACCTGCTTCACTTTTCATTAACTAAAAGAGGCATATTTCAGGACTCTCTGTTTCATGGCTGTCCCGAGGATATTGACTCATGAGTCTCACAGCATTTTGATTCTGTGAGTCACAAATGTTAGGGTTGGGACTTGGAGGTTACTGCATACCTCCCATAGCTAATGCAAAGTCTCTTACTGCCTGCTTCCAACAGGTGCTCATCCAGCTGCATGAGAATACACAACCAGAATGCAAACCACCACTGCCCAGCAGTGCTCCTTACCCAAAATTCTCCCAGAGTAGAACTGAAATCTGTTGCTTTGACTTCTCTTCTCACACTAGTTCTGTAGCAGCCACAGGGTTTACAAGCTTGTGGTATTTGTGACATTTGCCGCCTAGAAATTTTCCAATCTTCTGATTCTTACTACAAGATAAAGTTTCTATTGTTAACATTCACCAGCTGGTACATTGGGGACACCTCCTGCAACATGCCACCTTTGGCCTGGGTCCCACAGGGCTCACAACTGTTTTGTGAGCATCCCATGTCATCCTGTGAGTGTCCTCCCTGTTTCAGTAACTCCACCCTCCTTTTCACAAATGTCACATCCTCTGTTAGGTAGGAAAAGTCTCCCTTCAGTCTCATGCATCATAGGAATTGGTCTTAAGGTGCTCCCCAGACAGGTGTATGGGAGGTAGCATCAGATGAGCCCTTACTCTTGTATCAACTCCAGGCAATTCTATGAACTATGCAAGTTGTTGACCTTTTGCAGGATGTGGCAAATGAAGCTCAGAGAAGCCAAGGAACTCTTGAGAGCCCAGTGTAACTCAGACCTCCAGCCTCAGAGACAGCAGATTAAGCACAGAACTGTCCCCTCAGGCAGCAGCTTAGATTCTCCTCCTCACACCTTACAAGGCTTGTTCCTCAGCACCTGTCTTGGTAAGGATTAATAATGCAAGCGCAGGGCCAGGGGATTTAACTCAGTGGCAAAGTGCCTGCCTGGCAAGCGCAAGGTCGTGAGTCCGGTTCCCGGTACCGGAGAAAAACAAACAAACAAAAAATAAATACACAGCACTGTTCACTTTTAAAATAAGATCTGGAAATTCACAGTATATGAAGTCTTAAGAGAAAAAGCCTCTATAGGTATTGATGAGCAAGGCCATAAACAAGATGTATTCAAAAGAGTTGTCTCTGTCTAGTAATTAGGGTGGCCTAGACAGGGAGAGGAAGGGAGATGAGAATGAAGGCCATTGCTAGGGTCACTATACACCTTCTCAGGGGCTCAGCCTTTCTTTTTACCTGAAGTGAGAACAGGGCTTGGGGAGTGTGGGCAGGAAGCAAAACCCCAGATCAGATCTGAGGACACTAAGGGGAACTCTAATCTGACTTCCAACCTGGAATTTCAGAGTGTGCAGCACAGCCCACAATTGAAGTCCCACCTCTGAACCACCAAGACCAGGGAGCAAAACTAAGCTTTAGCCTCAGCACGTACCAGCACGGAAGTTAGGTCTCATGCATTAGACAGATAGGGAATTCAAGGCAAATTAAATGAATATTACATTGTTTCACGCTTGTATTCAGGGCAGGTGGAATGTATGAGTTGTGATAAAAAAAAGTACAGTGAATGTTTACATTTTAAAAATGTAATGACAGTGAAGACACACTGGCACGTATCCTCCTCAAACTATCACCCTTCATTTTGTACACATTAGCCCATCATTCTTGCCACTTTCTGAAGCAGTTCTGGAAGTACTCTTTTGTGAATATCTTCAGGTGCCCTGTGTGGTTGCCTCAATGTCCTGAATTAACTCAAAACATTTCACTTTTATGTCATTTTGACTTTGGGAAAGAGGCAGAAGCCACATGGTGCCACTGCAGTGAATAAGGAGGATGAGGAGGCCCACTGCCCCTCCACTATCAAGGGAACCATCTCAGAGCCTTGATGAATCACACAAGAGGGAAGAGACACACCCCATCACGACCACCATATCTCCTCCATCAAGGGAGCCTCCATTTGGAGGAACCCATGTGCTTGGCCCATTCCCCTACACCACAGGATGGGCAACCAGCTCAGGAAGTGCCTGGGACATGGCAACTGGCTCATCTGGAAGAACCCAGGGTAAATCAACTCAAACAAGGGGAAACACTTGGCATACAAACTCCTAATTTATGATTGGTTCTGTTATATAACTATAGACTTTGCTCCCATGCTCTACAGTACAAAAAGTACAAAACTAATAATTACCAGTTTGTCAATATCTACATTGTGCTTGCTGCTGTCACCATTGCTAACTGTACTACTAGAGCTAGGATGAAACATCTGTTGTAATAAGTTGTTCTCCTTTGTGTAATAATATTGGGAAGCTCTAGGGGAATAACCTCACCAGATCCTACATCAAAAGACTGGGGACAGAGCCAAACAGAAAGCAACATTCCACTCTCAGTTAATTGGGAAGGTACGATCTGCAGGCAGACACAAACCAAGGATTTTCTACACAAAGAAGACATCCCTGAAGAATAGACTTTTCCTAAAGAGGACTTGATACTAGTGATATAGCCACCTATTACCCAAATACACGAGGATCATCACAGAAATCAAAATAAAAAAATTTTTTGAACTAAAACATTTTCTGAAGTCAAGATGGAGGAGCAAAATGCAATGTCAGACCTCCAGCCCAGTCAGAACAAATCCAGGAGACATCAACATAGAAAAAATTGGAAGTCACACACCTGAAATTTCTGAAAGTATTGCAATTGAAGTAAAGAAACAACTCCAGGAGGCTATGGAGGAATTGAAAAAAGAAATGACAAGGGACTGGGGATTTACCTCAGTGGCACAGCGCCTGCCAAGCAAGCACAAGGTCGTGAGTTTGATTTGCAGTACCAGAAAAAAACAAACAAACAGACAAACAAAAAAAAGAAATAACCATAATGAAAGAATTGTTCAGCATATCTAATGGAGACATAAATTAAAAAAATAGAGGAGCATAGGAAAATGATAGAAACCCTGAATGAACAATATAGGAAAGTATTAGAGTGCATGAAACAGATTCAAAGA